TGGCAGGCTTGCACCTGGCATGGGCACCGTAGCCAGCCCGTGCCCCTTTAAGGGCTCCGGGGCTGGGAGGCGGGCAGACGAGTTTCCCTGGTGGTGCCCAGAGTGGCCACCAGGGAAAGCTGGGGAGGGCTAGCCTCCCACTAGTTCGAATTAAGTGGCTACTTAATTCGAACTAGGCGTTAGTCCTCATAGAATGAGGTTTACCTAGTTCGAATTAAGCGCTCCGCTAGTTCAAATTAAGTTCGAACTAGCGGTTTGTATGTGTAGCGCCTATCAAAGTTAATTCGAACTAACGGCTGTTAGTTCTAATTAACTTTGTAGTGTAGACATACCCTCTGATAGCTAGTTTGATCTCCTGCACCAAGAGTTTTGTTCCTCCATTTTAGTGCTCAGAATCCATGCATTCAGGTAGCATTTCAGTTGTTTTCCTCAGACCTCTGTTTCTAGCTTATGGTGCTCCATTATCCCTTACTATATCTTCATTTAGCTGATTTTCCTGTTTATTAAAGGCAGGAATGAAGCTTCTGCAAATCTCTTTCCTCGTGTCCTATTTTAAAGTCCTTCTTAGTTGACCAGCAGAGAAGAATCTATTATAAATTCCTGGTGCTGTACCTCATTCATGTGGTGATGTTTATAAGATATATGTTATGATTAAGTGGTCATGGGGCCATGGGAATCTGCTTTTCTCATAATATTGTAATATTACGTTGCCTTTAATCTGTGGCCATGGGAATCTGCTTTACTCATAATATTGTAATATTACGTTGCCTTTTCCTATTTGCATTTGATACTTTTTCATACTGTATTCATCTTACTTTAATTGAAATTGAATTTCATCATATACATTGTCATTTATAGCACTGCTTTCTTTGGGTACGTCTAAACTATGTTTTTGGTTTGTTTGTTTGTTTTCCAAAAGAGGATATGCAGGAAAAAAAAAACCCCTTTTTAGAAAAAAATGTGTAAACCTCTTTTTTTTTTTTTTTAAAGGAAAAGCGTTTTTTTTAAAAGGTTTTTTTGAAAAAAAAAATCCATGTCTAGACTACTTTCACTTTCGAAAGAGAAAAAAAAAAATCCACGACTAGACTACTTTCACTTTCGAAAGAGAGCTCAGAAGAAGATATGGAATTTGCATATCCTCTTTTAAAAATAGAACGTAGTCTAGACATAACCTTTATTGGAGTGACAGATAGATTGATAAGAGCTGCTTAAGAAAATTATGAAGTGTAATGTCTGCTACAGACTGAAGTTTGGTTGATTCCTAGTTTTTAGCTGAGATGGTTTTAAGCCTTAATGGTCCATTCCAAGCATGCATATTAATCGGTTATGACACAAACTCATTGTCTCTGGATGTGGATACACAACATATGTAAGCCACTATGAAAACTAGCAGAAACAGCGAAATTAGTCCAACCATGAAAATCTAAAATAAATCAATGAATTAATCTATGTCAAGACCAAACCAAAATGATCAGTAATGGAGATGAGGGAGCATATAGAAGGATCATAGCACATTAACGATTAAATGAGTCCTGTGAGAACTTCATTCCTCTGGAGCAATAGGGACTGGAATTAGAAGGATTTTAAACAAAATATATTAAAATTAATTGATGAAAGCTGAAATAATTACTGAGCAGTCCCCAAAACTGGCTCCACTGATACATTCAAATTGCACCACCCTGTTGAGTAATATACCTAAATACCAATGGATTAATTGGAGCTAATTTTGAAGTAACACATTACTCAGAGTGAAGGGGGCACAAGCTTACTTCTGATGATGAGCCTGGAAAAGGTGCGGGGGGGGGGGGGAGAGGAAAGCAAAGGGGGGGGGGAGAGAGAAGAAAAGACAAGCACCTGAGTGGTCTAATGACCATTTTAAAATACCCATCAGAGCCCTCTGCTGAAGTAACATTGCTGTACAGGACTCTAAATATTTCAATTGTGACTTTCTTTCTAATATAGTACAGATTGCATTAATGAGCTATCAATGCTCAGAAAAAAACATTCCCGAAGCATGGTGATTATGTTGCATTGTGTCAGAATGGCTTCTGAAGATATTTTTAGTGGAATCTGGGTGTCTTGTTGATTAAGGGTTAAATTCCATAATAGCAAAGATGAAGTGCAGTTGCTTCAAAAATATTGTATAGTTAACACTTTCTTTTCACTCTCAGGTTACCAAAACACTGCATAGATTTCAGCTGTCTGTGGCATGGAGAGTGATACCCAGAAATCACCAAAATGCAAAAAACAATGTTGTTTTTAAGGTCCCATGCAAAATAAAGTAGTGATAAGTAGGGGGAAAGTTGTGAGCAAGCAGGAAAGCAAAGGAAACCAAACCGCAGTGCCTAGAGCCCAATTAGTACAAAAAGCTACTAGGAGTAGGAATGTAAAAGAGTAGTCAAGTTGACTACTCGCATTTTCTCCCTGCCACCCACTGCCTCTATCAGAGGGGAAAGCAGGATCCAGTGCTGCGGGAAGCCAGTTTAAAAGCTAGTTTCCCCCAGCACTGTCTCCGTGGTGCCACTTGCCCCCCGCCCACCCCCATCCTGTGCTGCTGCCTTTAAGAGGTAGTAGGGGAGGGGGGAAGGAAGGCTTTTCCTGGAGTATCCCTAGTGCACAGGGGGTCCCAGCTCCCTGTGGACTGGGGCTGCTGGACCTGGCATGAGCCCAGCTCGTCCTGGCTTGCACCGGGTCCAGGAGCTACCTCTGCTGAGGCTCTGCAGCTTAAATTTAGTAAGAGCTGGACTGCCTGCACACCTGGTTCTTACTACATTTTAAGTCCAGCACCACAGTGGGATTAGCTCCTTCTGAGCACCTTCCCTTCTCAACTAATAGTGTAGTCGGTACAAATTGTATTGACTACCCGATTATGCCTCTTAATATCCTTAACTAGGAGATTCTGTTTTTCAGTGGGTGCCTGGTAACCTCTCTAATGTTCAGTTACAAAACAGCTCCAGTGGTAACTTCCTGTTTCCATATATGTATATTTTTCTAAAATACCTACCTTTTGTTGCTAACATTTTTCATACTTAGTCTCTGCTCAAATGTGAAATTATTTATGACAGTCTGAAAACTGCATACTTAATGTGCCCAGTAGAAAATTTCCTTAAGTCTAAAGGTGCACACTTAAATACAGATGCACTGCACATGCATACAAGTTGATTGAGAAACAACTTGTAGAAAGGAACTTAATTGTACTGACAAGCAGCTTATATCCATATTTACTCATCATTTGTCTTTACATTTTCTTTATATATAAAAAAAAAGGCTAGCAACATAGTTTTAAAGTAGTGTTTGTAGATGGCAAGGTCAAAATGAACAACTCATTGCTTAGAAAATTCAAACATTAATTGCTTAAGAACATAAGAATGGTCATTCTTGGTCAGATCAATGATCTGCCTAGCCCAGTATTCTGTCTTCTCACAAAGTCTGGTGCCGGATGCTTCAGAAAAAGTGAATCAAGCTTTGTAAACTTCAAAGTTTGCCTCTCATCAACATAAATTGTTCTAGTAAAAGATATTGCCTCACCCATTTTGCTTCTCTCTTATCCTTGTACCAACCACATAGCTACAACACTGTATACATTATTTGGATAGAACTGTTATGTGGGTGGGACCATTGATAAATCAGTATGGAAAAAACAGTACGGTTTTCTATCTCCAAATAACTTGAGTCTGATCCTGCAAGGGTACTGGTTGAGTGGGAGTTGAGGATAGTCCACATATCTACAGAAGGAATTCAGTGCTTCACATGATAGGACCCTTAACCTGCAAGTCAGTAAAGAAAGAACAGATAAAATAGTGTGATTTATTTCTTTTACTTGTATAGTAGTTGAATTTAGAATTTTTTGAAAGACGGGAAAGGAAGATTGGCAGATGTTTCAGGGGAGATTGATCAAAGGATGTGGAATGATGTGAAGGCAGGCATCCAATTAGAATTTGGGCAAAATGAGCAGCTAAGGAAAAACATTGAACACTTGGGAGAGGATAATAGAGTAATAAATGGCAACAGTATGGTTGAATTTGCATTGTCAGATGAAAAATGTGTGGTGATCCTGGTGTTTGAAGGTAATTGTGATAAAATCCTATTATTTAATCTTTCTTTCCTCCCTACACATAGAGTGAAGATTTTCACATATATACACAGTACTGCACCAATTATCCAAGGTAGGAATATTTTGTTCACTTTTTTGGAGGCCCTTTCTTCCTGCTTTGTCCCTTTTTGGAAGGTGTATCAGTAAAGAATGCACTTAAAATTCAAGCAAAAATATTTTGTCATATACCTTTCCTCTCCTTTCAACTCATGATATAAAAAGTGAAAAGTGTCTACGGCAGTATTATTATTATTTTATAAATTCTTATTAGCCTCCACTAATAATAAGAATCTTATTCTGCTATGTCTAATTCCAAAAAGAGTTCTGCATATGAAAGGAAAGTAGATTTGGGCTCAAAACTAATATAGGAATTTCTATATAATGACTGGCAGGAGTTTGATATTCCCAGTAAGGGGAAGGAAGGAAAGCCAATTCCTGACGACTGAAGGTACATAGATACAGAAACAGCATATCTTTAAGGAGATTTATTATATTTTTTCAGGTCAGTGGCTGTGCTAACAGAATGCATGAGGAACAAGACACTGGCCAAGTTCTTCAGAGAACGGCAAGAAGCTTTACAACACTCCTTGCCCTTGGGATCATATCTCTTAAAACCTGTCCAACGAATATTAAAGTACCACCTGCTACTTCATGTAAGTGCCCACTCAAAAACATTTCTCTCTAGCACTGCTGTGCCTCTTCATCCCTGCAATATTACTACACTGGGATATTAAGATAGTTCTCCTTAAAAATGTGTCTCCTTTTGTTGATCAATTTTTTACATATGGAAGCATTTTCTGCCTCTACTCTCTTGACAATATATAAAATACATTGTGAGTAGGGAGTGTATGGTAATTGTTTTAGACACATTGAATAGGTTAATGCATCCAAATAATTAGATTTTTTCCGGTCTGCAAGTCCAGTCTTGCTTGGGAGTGTCTTGCTGTCAGGAGTTAGCAATTTCGTGCAAAAAAAATTTTCAGATGGGAAAAGTTTTTTCCATGCCCAAATGCTGGGAGCAGTTAGAAGGGAAGATAAATATTTATAAACATCATTTATTTGATTTTTTTTTGAGAGGAGTAATGATTGGGGAAACAGGAAACATTTCTATATCCATTGGACTGAATTCAGAACATGCTCACAAATTCCTGCTTTATTGTTAACAGAAAACATGTGGAAAATGTTACAAGATCATTCTGTAATTAAAAGTAGACACACAGATCCTAACTTAAAGTGTCTAGTGAATCCCTTCTGTGTCCATCTCTCCCACCCCTTCCCCCCCCAGCCTAATGCACATATAGACAGCCATTGGTTTTCAGAAATCAAATAAGCATTGGCCTCCAAAGAGGCAGTGTGAGGGTGGTAGAGTGACCACCTTTTGAAAATGCAGAAATGGGACAGATGCAGGAGTTGTGCTTCCCTCTGGGGCTTTGTCCCCTGCTTCCCCTCTTCACCTTGAGGTCATGAGCCAGAGCTTGGGCTTTGAGTGGGATGCCAAGGTGTCTAAGAGCAGCCGCTGTCCCATATTCTCTCCTCCCGCTCTGCCCCTTGTCCCAGGCAGGTGGAGGGTCCAGAGCTTCCTGAGCACACCTTGCTACTGCCCAGTTCTGGTCCGAACAGAGACAAAGCTTTGGGGGGAAGAGAAGGAGTAGCAGGCCTTGTGGGTAGAAGTGAGCTAAGCCTGTCTTGGCACTGTCCCCCATGCCAACTTGGGAGAGGCTAGCATCTCATGTTATTACTTGGTCCAGTATTTGAGCACCCTGGCTATTTGTTTTATGAAGTTGCCACTTTCCAGAAAAATAATCTAATCTGCTGTCTTGTTTTATGTGGGTCCAAAAACTTGCATTATCATCACAATACGCTGGGATATCTAATGTTAAATGTATGTGTCCAGCTAAAAAGGCTGCAGAGTTCCCACTTCCTTCTATAGTTTCAGTGATAACAGATCAGAACGGTTGAAAATAACAGCAGATGTTTGCCTGCATCCAGCCAAGCGCACTGTGAATGTGTGGGAGGGAGGGTTTGAGCCATGTAAGAGTGAGATGTGCAATGTTATCCCTCTTGTTTATCCTATCAGTGGCTGTTGAAGGGGGCTGTGGAGTTCCTTTATGGTTAGGGATTAGAGTTGCGGTATGCTTGCCTTGTGGGTAGGTGAAGGTTTTTTGCATTTCAAATGTGGTAACCATACTGGTACCCCAGCCTCGGAGTCTTGGGAAAGCACAGAGCAGAACCATAGGAATCCAGGACAAATTCTGTTCCACAGTCATTCAGCCCAGGACTGAGACTTGAAATATACATTTTGGGGTTGTCCTGTCCAATTAGGGGTGGGTAGTAATCACCTGTGTGTGTGCACATGCATATGTTGACATATACTCTGTTGATGGCTTAATGTCTCCTTCTGCTAGTGTGTGCATTTGCATGAGCAATGGTACTATGGACTGTAAGACTTGTCCTCGCCTCTTCTGTCTAGCCCAAATTGATAACAATAACAGAGTAATAGCAGAGGGAGCAACACTGTATTCAGGTGATTTTGGTGCCAAGACAATAAAAGCTGTGTCAACCTTGTATCTGATTTGAAAAGTCAAGCTGAAAATAACTGGCTTTTTATTGGTCTCTTCACTAGGAAATAGAAAACCATCTTGACAAGGACACTGAGGGCTATGATGTAGTGCTAGAAGCCATAGATACAATGCAGAGAGTGGCATGGCATATTAATGACATGAAGAGGAAACATGAACATGCTGTTAGGCTGCAGGTGAGTTTACAAAGAGATTTCAATGGTTATTGGCAATTTTTCTCTTGTTTCTGTTAGGATTGCCAGTTTGACTGGATGTATTCCTGGAAGTTTGATCACATGACATAATCTTTTATTAAAAATTAATCTTCAATTCCTGGAGATTCTAGAACAGGGCTACTCAATAATTGGCCCACAGGCGGGATCCTTTGAACATGACCTGCACTGGGAACGTGCTCCACAACAGCGGGTCAATATAATGGTCTTCTGTTGACAAGCATTTTAGTAGTTAAATTTCTAGACTGTCATTGCTCATTAAAAATGCTGTCATATGGGTGAAAATAGGGTAACTATTGCATTTCATTAATATCAGCAGAACTGGATTAAATGGGGCCTGTGTGTTGTGTAGTCTTGCCTTAATCTTTGTATTCATGCCCATCAGTGTGAAAGAAGCTATTTGCATATATTTGCATATATATTTGTATGTACATGCAATCACACTTAAGTTGTGGCCGTTGGAATGTGCTGTGAGTATCATTGTGGCCCCTTATGCTTCCAAAGTTGAGTAGCACTGGTCTAGGACAATATTGAAGGGTTGGCAACTCTGTATATGCCTGCTTTTGTTTTTAAAACCTATACCATTAACATTTCCTACTACCCTTTAAATTTGTGTCTGTATTTGCTGTATCCTAGACTATTGTATATTGTGAGTGTTCTTTCTGAATTCAGATATACCATTAGCATTTCCTACTACCCTTTAAATTTGTGCCTGTATTTGCTGTATCTTAGACTATTGCATATTGTGAGTGTTCTTTCTGAATTCAGAAATTTTGGTCATAGCTGCTACAGAAGAGCCTCAGAATAATCTGTCCTGCTTGCAGCATCCTGTTAAATATTTGTTTGCAATGGTACAGAATTAGATAACTTTTTTATTTTCTTGACACCTCCATTGTACACCACTACTATTTCATTGAAGGGCATATTGTTTCTGAGAACTCTTGTGGTTTCCTATTTCAGACTTTTGTCCCGTTTAATTTTGTCTGGTTGGAAACATTTCTCCTGTCTTATTTTATCTTTTCCTCTCAGCTGTATCTGCCTATGAGTTGTTGCTTTGTAAGTATACAGAGAGATGGTCAGATCCAGCCTTATAAAAAAAATCCATTGCTCTGCAATGAAGCATTTATTGTAAAGTGATTGACTCTAGGAAGTCACTGTAGTCTATATTAGATTTTCTTGTGCAGACTATGTATGAAGAACCATCATTCCCTCTCTCAGTTAGACTGACTCCAGACATTCTCAAAAAGAGTTGAATAGACTTTCTGTTGTGTCAGAAAACCAGCAGGGATAAGCAGATAAGAGTATGGGGAAGGAGACATCTCCCATTCAAGTGATCTATAAATAATTTGCCATTTCTTCTATTTCAAAGTAGAGATGGCACTCACTGAATCCTATATTTGTTTAGTAATTGGAGGATTTAAATAAATGAAGAAAAGATAATTCATTTTAAAATGCCTTTTCTGAGCCCATGTAACCTTACCTAAGTCATTGACATAAATAGGGATATTGATACCTGGAATACTTGACAATAAAGTTGGTTAGATGCTTTTGGACAGCTGAGTTTCATAATTTACAGTCTGAGCTGGCAAACGTGGGGTGGTGAAATCTTTTTGGCTCAGTTTCTCATTTTCAACAGTAATTTCTGTGTTCTACAGGGGCACTGATGTCTCTGTGCTATCATATAATGATGTGTCTGTAATTCTGTGGCTACTGTGCCTGCATTTCTGCATGAATTCTCTTCCAAAGTGGATAAATCAATTTCTGGGGTTACACTGTAACTGATTTACAAGTTACTAGAGAGAACTTTTCCATTTGTTGTATTTTTAATCACAGTCTTGAGTATATTCCAAAAATGTTGTTTTATCTGTTAATTTGTAATATGTTGCATGGAGGTGCCATGCATGCTTTACTGTCAGATGTACAGCAATCACTGTGCTATTTGAAAGAAGTTCACAGCTATGAAATAAAATTCTGTAGGGTAATATCTGTAATGAGGACATTTCCCCCTCATTGCTATCACCATCTGGGTTAAAGCAGTGCTAACCCTGGTTGGAAATTTTTTTGAAAATGTCCTTAGTATCAGTGGAGTCTATTCATGGGTTACTAGCACCTGACGTGTAAGATGAAGTGCTCTTAGGGAGTTATGCCAAGGGAGTTGGAGACCAAGTAACTAGAAGAAACAAGGAAAAGGGAGAGCACTACTGTAGAACTTCATTTTCTTAAGGCCATCACTGGGCTAACCTATGTTTATCTTTACATATTGTTTATTTTGATTTAAATCAGAACTGTGTTGCCACTTGAACAGACCATTAGCAATACAAATATAACTCAGTCACATTAAATTATCAATTCAATAGAAACTCTACCAGCCATCTCTTCCGTTGTCTAGGAAACATATTTCAGCTTTCTTCCCAAGCTCATTCAAACAGATATCTTTTGCAGTCTTCCCAGAAGTTTATTATTATAGACTATTTTGGATTTGATGGGGGGAACGGCACAAATTGGAGTCAATATTTGCAAATTATTTTTTTATTCTCCAAGTTGTATACATCTAACCTGAAGAAAAATTGGACCAAAATAGGGCAACTAAAAAAGTTGGGGTACGTCCACACTGCAACAATATTTCAAAATAACTAGCACTATTCTAAAATAACTTAGTCCACATCTGCACAGCAGGCAGTTATTTCGAAATAGTGTCAAAATACCATCAGGCTGGAGGACTTCTTACTCTGACTCCTGTAATTCTCATTGTACAAGAAATAAGGAAAGTCAGAAGAAGAGTGCTCTATTTTGAAATAAGCGCTGTGTAAACGCTCCCTATTTCAAAATAAGATAGGCAATTAACGTAAGCCATGCAGTGAAGACGTACCCTTAGTGATTTTAGTCTTGGTGAGAAGTGCTAGATTAACAGTCCTGACAATTGAAGCTTTGTAGTTCTTTACAGGACAAGTGTGGTTCTGCGAGATAGCAACATTACCAGAATTCTGTATCCATGCCCTTTAGTCCTTGTCTCTTTTTTTTAACCAAAATAATTCAGCAGAGTCAACAGGAATTTGCTAAACATTTTGGTGTCAGAACATTTTAATTTTTCATAGAAAAAGGTTTTCACCCAGCTCTAGTTAAAACAGAACACGTCCTAATGTCCTCAGTAGATTGAATTTTTGAATTTAAAACTTGTATAATAAAATACTGTTTAGAATTGCATTGTTTTTCTGTTTCAGGAGATACAAAGTTTACTTACTAACTGGAAAGGGCCGGATCTCACTAGCTATGGGGAGCTGGTTTTAGAAGGAACATTCCGCATTCAACGAGCCAAAAATGAGCGCACTTTGTTTCTCTTTGACAAACTGTTGCTTATTACAAAGAAGAGAGAAGAAATGTTTACATACAAAGCTCATATATTGGTATGTCATGGAGCCCATTGTAATGTGCTGATTGAACCAATTTCTAGCTTTCTTTAAACTCTCCTCTGTGAGATTCACTTTGTCTTCTCTCTGTACAGTGTGGCAATCTCATGCTTGTTGAAGTAATACCAAAGGAGCCACTTAGCTTTAGTGTCTTCCACTACAAAAATCCCAAGATGCAGCACACTGTGCAGGTATGACAGAAACCTCCCTGCTCTGAACATAACCTGACATGTTATACATGATGTCAAATAAAACATTCATCCAATTTTCTGTATTGAAAATCCATCTCCCCTAACTGGGGGCTTGATTCTGCCCTTAAGTACTCCATCTACATCACTATATCTATAGTCCCCAGTCCCTAAGTGGTTATAGTAATGAGTCATCTGACCATCTTATAATTTTACAACAGGCTAAATCACAACAAGATAAACGCCTTTGGATTCTTCACTTGAAGAGATTAATTCTAGAAAATCACCCAGCTAAAATTCCTGCTAAGGTAAATAAACGTACTCTCTCCTCTAAATACTTGTATTATTTAAGGAACTTGTATTAGCAGACAGACACAATGACAATTTGGGAGATATTTTTATATAGAAACACTCCTCTGTACACTAATGAAATGGAATTCATGTAATATATTGGTACTTACACATCTTCAGATGATTTCATTAAAGCTAAAAGGGAACAGCTCCAGCAAAAACAACTACTGGAGTCTGTACACACAACTTAGAATCTCATCAATTTGTTAAACCCTTTGTCTACCCTGGGATTTGTCTTTTGGTACCTGTGGTTATACCAGGCGCGGCTGCACGTAAGCAAATCTGTAGATGCATTGCCCCAGTGTAAAAAGTGACTTGTGTCAGTGTATTTTAGCTTGATTTGAAACTTGACATAAATCCCTTTTAATGCAATACTTGTGCCCTGTGAGGTTGCACTGATGCAACTACCTTGATATTGCAAAAGCAATGCATTTCTGGAAGTGCCTACACCCAATTGGTAGGACTTAGAAAAAGGCTATGTTCTCCATCTATGTTTTGCCTATAAACCAGTGTTTCTTAAGCTATGTTCCGTAGAACAACTCGCAGGTGTGCCATGACCTCTTCTTTGTTTTTGTCTTTTTTTGTCTGACAATTTTTTTAAAGAAAATTTTCCTAGGTGTTCCGTATAAAAAAAATTATTTGTTTGGTGTTCTGTGGTCTCAAAAAGTTTAAGAAACACTGCTATAAATGCTCATGATACTGTTCATATATTTTTGTTAGTCTCTAAGGAGCCCCAGGACTACTGGTTTGTTTTTTAAAAAGATGTTCTTGATCTGTTATTCTTATATGTAGAACTCCCACTGAAGTCAATGGTAGTTTTGCATAAACGCTGACTAAGAATCCCATATTTGTAACACAGTGAACATTATAATAGTAAACTGGACACACTGTAAGATACTTTAGGATGAATTAAACTTTCATACCAAGCTACTTACTAATCTTAAACTCTCTTTAGTTCTTAATGGATTTAAAAAAATATTTCTACCCAAGACTCCATCCCGAATACAAAATGTTGCTTATATAACAAACAGTAATCTTAGTTATCCCTTTGCAGCCCTGAGCAATAATTTATACTTATGACAAAGAAGAAAACAGTCAAACATCTATTGTTGTCTGCTCACACCTGTGGATCTTCCACACTCCAACTTTTCACAGTTTAGTGGTAGTCAATTCATGACACCTAGTGGAAGATAACTGCATTGCATCCTTGGAAAGGCAAACTGTCTACTCTACACTTTTAATTTTATTTTTTGGTTTGTTACAATATGCCTAATGATCGCTCATATTTTTTTTCTTTAGAAAGATATTAACACAGGAAAAGTCTTGGGATATTGACTTCATCTATTTAAACAGTAATATAATATTTTGGTAGTGCTTTTTATCTCTGGGAAAGATGATATTCAATAATACATTTAAAAATAAATCTGGTTGGAAATTTCTTAGAGGGAACAACGTTGATACTTTTTTTTTCATGGCACACAATACATTTTCTCCTCTTAACAAATGAGTAGGCTTTCAATTTAATTTCTTTGAGAGGTTTTTGTGGTTTTTGTTTTGGTTTTGGTTATGATAACTCTCAAGAGTCCAGAATGCATTTATAGTCAAATGGACATATATTTACAATCCCCAATTTATGTTTAAGATTCTGAACAGGTAAGTAGGTAGTGGGAGGAGCTGTCAGAGAATGAATTACCACTCCCAGATCCTGATGCCAGTTTTGTGCAGCCAATGTGTTGCTTTAAATTCCACCAGCTGACAACTATTACTGGAGCATATGACCTATGAGGAGAGACTGAGGGAGTTGGGTCTGTTTAGTCTGCAGAAGCGAAGAATGTGGGGGCATTTGACAGCAGCTTTCAACTTCCTGAAGGGAGCTTCCAAAGAGGATGGAGAAAGGCTGTTCTCAGTGATGACAGATGGCAGAACAAGGAGCAATGTTCTCAAGTTGTGGTGGGAGAGGTCCAGTTTGGATATTAGGAAAAACTATTTCACTAGGAGAGTGGTGAAGCACTGGGATGGGTTACCTAGGGAAGTAGTGGATTCTACATCCCTAGAGGTATTTAAGTCTTGGCTTGACAAAGCCCTTGCTGGGTTGATTTAGTTGGGATTGGTCCTGCCTAGAGCAGGGGGCTGGACTTGATGACCTCCTAAGGTCTTTTCCAGCTCTTTGATTCTATCTATGACAATCCTGAAAGAGATTGTCAAGCTAAATCTAGCCAAAGGGCTACATGTTCTCAACATAACACACTTGAGGGGTTGATGTGATCAGGTATGCCAGCTCCACGCCTGCTGGTATTTCCTTATACTAGAAAGATGCCTAGCTAATACAATGTAGTCAGTCACTCACTGCTCCTTTTGTACTGCTAGGATAGTGGGTAGTAAGGTGAACTATGGTGGGACTTGCACAATGAACAGCAGAAGTTATTTCCTACCTGGAAAATTTATCTTACTAAAATTGGAAGAGTAAAATGTCAATCCAGTATAATGTATACAGTGTGGAATCTGTATCTATTCTGTATTTAAAGTGACCAAAGAAAAATTGACTATAATGTTTGTTGTGTTTTTTTAATCATTGAGCCATGTGATGTAATTTAGTATATTTGTATAATATGACCTGATTTTGCATAATTTGTATCTTTCAGGCTAAGCAGGCAATTCTAGAAATGGATGCCATACGTAAGTTTTTTCTTTCATAATGTACTTTTTTCAAACAGTCATCTTTAGCTACATATTCTCTAGCTTCCATCTAAAATATAAGAAACCTGTGTGTATTTTTTTTAAAATAAGACCTGATCCCTTGCAGATCAATGGGAGTTGAGGCTACTCAGCAACCAATAGGATGTGACTTATAGCAAATGCAAAGGTTAGATCAGATCTCTGATAGTAAACACAGCAACACCACTCCATCATACTCTTTCTTATCCTGAAGAGAGACAGGGCATGGTTGATCCTGAGTCTGAGCAATGTTGTGTTGAAAAGCTGAGAATAGGGAAATGTAGTTTGTCTTTAACACTTATCTGGTCTGCATGCATGCTGGCAAACCCACAAAAGCAGGAAATATGGGGGACCTGCCAACTAAGGATTCTCTGGTAATATAGCAGTCTGGAATCCAGGCAGAGCCACTGGGATTCCTCATCCATAAGGCTTCCTCGTGGATGGCCTTGTCCTCTTGCAGTCTAGGAAGATCTTGAGGGATACAAGGGCAGCATTTCAGGGAGGAAATTGCTCCCAAACTACCACTCCAAGAAAACACCATTATAGGACCCTTCCAGGATTTCCCTTTCCCACAGAGCTCTTCCCATAGATATGTAAGCACCAAAAGGGTGTTACAAAGTAGGAGGGGGAGAAATTATTCTGCTTAATGTCTGATAGGGTAGGCTTACATTGTGGCGAAGTTTAGGTTGCACATTAGGAAAAACTTCCTAACTCTGAGTGGTTAAGCACTGGAATAAATTGCCTATGGAGGTTGTGGAATCTCCATCACTGGAGATATTTAAGAGCAGGTTAGATGGACACCTGTCAGGGGTGCGCTAGATCAGGGATGGGCAATAATTTTGGCAAGGGAGCCACTTAATGAATTTTGGTACATGGTCATGGACTGGCTCCACCTCTAAAAAGGGGTGGGGTCTGAGGTGGAAGGGGTGGGGCAAAGGGCTCGCAGCTCCCAGACCTGCTGCTACCGCATTGCGTGGCAGCTGCCTGGAATTGCTGCAGCTTTTTAAAGGGCTCATGGCTCCAGCCTCTGCCAGGGTAGTACCATCATGGGGAGCTCTGAGCCATTTAAATAGGATCCTGCTGCCTGAGCCACTGCCTGGAAATTCAGTAGCTTGAGCAGCAGAATATAAATAGAAAGTGGCCAGGTGCAGTCTGTGAGCTAGATCAAAGTGTTGGGCGGGCCAGATCCGGCCCCCCGGCCACATTCTGCCCAGCCCTGGTCTAAATGATGCTTGTTCCTACCATGAGGGCAGGGGCTGGACTTGATGACCTGTTGAGGTCCCTTCCATTTCTAGTATTCTGTGGTTCTGTGCTTCTAAGTTAGACACGGGAATTGAGCAACAATGTTGCTGTATTAGCAATCCATTGGTAAAGTGGTATGAAATATGTAATATTTTTAGTAGCTAGTTGGCAGCACTAGAGTTAACATTATCAGTTATTGTTTGTCTGACAGTTTCACAATATAAGACACAAAAGGGAGGTAAATTTTTCGCAGAAGAGCTGATGTGACTTATCAGATGACACTTAATGGTGGTTGATACCTCTGACTATTTTACAGATCATCCAGGATTCCATTATAGTCCGGAGGGAGAAATGAAAGCATCATATAATTCTAAAGAAGGTCTTACCCCGCGGAGGGTGAGAAGGAAGTCAGGTAATTTAAAATTTGTACTACTAAAGAAAGTGGAAAGAAAATGTATTGAAATGTTTTAAAATTATGCTTAGCGTGGAAGGGGATAGAGATTGAGTTACTGGAAGAGGCATTATGTGAAAAGAAAATGACATCCACTGGTTGCTGTTTTAAAATTGCTTCCTACAGAGTGTCATGTTTGTTTACAATTAGTAGGTTAACTCCTGATTTAAAATTCTCTGGATTTGAGAGGAAAATTATTGATAGAGCTGGCTAGAAAACAGACCAAGCATCCTATCAGAAATTCTAAGCTTGAAGATTTTGTTTCATTCTGAATCAGAACAAAATTTCAAATCTCAGAATTTCTGGCAAAAGGGAATATTCCATGACCGAAAAATACTGGTGCTGCACCTACCTGTTTCAGGTTCCTGACCTGCAGGGCTGTTTGCTGGGCTAATAGCAAGGGGCAGGCTACTGAAGAGTTGGCAGGGCCTGCCCAGGAGCTGGGAGGCTGGCTGTTGAGTAGTTGGGAGCTCAGGCTCCTGTGGAGCTAGGCAAGCAAGCTAGCAGGTTTCAAAACCTAGCTGGCAGGCAGAGTTTCATGGGAAGCCTGCCTTGTTTCTGTAGCAACTGGACATTCCCATTGAATGGTGCAAATGGCATTTTCTGGCAGAAACACACACAATCCACTGGAAAATTTCTACCTTCTTTTTATTGGTTTTGCTCTTTCAAGCTCAAAACTCATACATATTTATGAACACAATAAAAGGGCGTGTGGGTTTTTCTTTTGTCTCTCCTCACAAGCTTGTAGACTAGTATAAATGGGGGGTGTAGGGCAAATGATGAACATTATTGTTGATTCTGACTACTGAACATAGTAGGAAAGTAGAAATATGCCAAAAACTAAACTAAATTAATTTTCCAAGAAAAGAAATTGAAATTAAAATATTTTAAAAAAAACTTAAAACTTTTCTGTGCCTAGTATATGTACAAGTGATAATGCCTCTCTTGAGGTCCATGCGTGAGAGGGAAAGACACATGGACACATACACACACATTACATACAGCTAAATTTGCTGTGAGGTAATAGTGGGCTTCAAGTGAAGCTGCATATTTCCATACCTAGGATGCACATTGCAGTATGTCATGGCAAAGTGAGATTTTAAAGCTATAGTGGATTGGTTGGAGGAAAAAATACAGGCATCTTTTAACACATGGGTTCCCAAATTGGGGGGCGGTCCCCCCAGAGGGGGCATGAAGAAATTCCAGGGGGCGACCCAGCCGCACACACCCCGTCAATCCCACCCAAAGTTTTGCTGCTATTTGTTTGGGGGGAGGGAAGGTGAAGGTTTCTCAAAAACCCAAAAGGGGTCATGATTCAAAAAAGTTTGGGAACCACTCATTTAACAGGTTGTTTTGATAGTCTTGTGCCATTTGATTTTATTACTTTAATAAAAAATTCAGACTGCAAATTTTAAAACAATGGATGTTTGTGTGTGTATTTAGGCATACATAAGAATGCCAGTTATTTTATGTAACACTGACATGCTTATTTTTTTTAAAAGGTGAACAGTTAATACCTGGGAACCTGTTTTTACCTAAATTAATATAAGCCAGGTTTTTTTACTCCAAATCCTACCAGCCTTCTGAAAACTAGAGATTTGATTACTACTGTTAAGATTGGAGTAGTGAAATATTTGTTTCAGCTCTAATAATCTTTTCTGGTTGCTTATTGTTTTTCTTGTTGCAGTTAAAATATTTACATACTTTGACTAGCTTTGAATCCCACTATGTCACTATGGGCATGTCCACACAGCAGAGCTAAACTCAGAATAAGCTATGCAACTTGAGCTATGCTAATTGAGTAGCTTAAGTTGAAAAAGCTTATTTCATCTTTTGGTGCTGTCTACACAGCAGTGTAGAAATAGAGCACTCCTCCCCTGACTCCCTTTACTCCTCATGCAATGGGGGCTATAGGAGTCGGAGTAAGAAGTCTGTTTCAAATGTATTTCAAAATAACGGGCTTGCTTTGTAGACTCGCACTATGTTATTTCAGAATAAATTACATTATTCAGAAATAACGCTGCTGTATAGATATCGCCTATCTGTCCATCTTTAACTGCTATTAGAAACACAGTGGTCAATTAGATCAGAGAAACCATAATATTCAGTTTATACTAAGTCATTTAAGTAAGCAAGACTACTGATGTAGTGACTTAACATAAAGCAACATTTATCACTGAGAAACAATCAAGTCATTAAAGATTTTCAATTGTTCTGCAAGCAAAATCTCTCCCTTTCCAAGGTGAAAAATTATATTGACAGTGTGAAATATTAACTGAATGGTCCTGTTTGGAATATTCAGTACTTCTGCTTTTAACCAACATTAAGAAATAAATCTCACCAAATATTTCTAATAGAGCAGTAAATCTCCAGTGATTTAGACCAAGATTTTCAAAAGAGAAGGCCTCGAAGTAGGCTTGTAAGTATAAATTATCCAACCCATGGTCTCTGTATATAGAATTAGGGGTTAAATTTTGGCATTCATTTTTTTTTAAAACATTGGCCAAAATATCAGTGACTTTCTTTGGAACACTGTAGTGTTAACTACATTTATCTTTTTCAGAACCTTCATCCAGAGTTCATAAAGTTATGAAGCCAAGCGGTAAGTTATATTGCATCTAATAGTACATGCTATTAAAAGTTTTTTAAAAAATCAACTTTCTAAGCTATACATACCTAGAATAGGTAAACCAATATAATGGAATTCAAAGATGTGCTGTCATCTTCTTTGTGATTCTTACCATTGTGCTTAAAATTTGCAGCTTACCATTGTGATTCTTACCATTGTGCTTAAAATTTGCAGCACACGTAGGACTGGATCCTCAGCTTTTGTAAACTGATATAGTTAATGGAGATGCACTGATTTTCATCAGCTGGATATCTTACCCATAATATGTAACCTCAAGCCCAGCCTTGAGAAAAATGCAGTGCAGAGAAAGCAAAATGAGTTACTGTATTTTCCTTACCTTTAGGCCTGATCCTACAAACACTGAAGCAAATAAGTAGACAATATGAGACTACTCATATACATAGTTATTAATGTGTTTGCAGGATCAGGAGCTTAATTGGGATCCATCAGTGTGTTATGCTGAGACAGACTGGGAACTCATGGAACACAAGCCTGTCGGGGATTGCGGTGTGAATACAATTCCAGTTAACATCACGGTCCGGATAAATTAATCACAAGTCCCCATCTAAGACAAAATGGCCTGTAAACCTGCCCAGAGGTTTCTGAACAAAATGGGGAGAGGGATTTTGTTGAGTATCAATTTGTGTTGAGGTGAATGGAGGCAGAATACATAGACTAGATGGAGATGGGCCAGCAAAAAGCAAGAGTGCTAAGCAGTAGCCACTGAACATAGAGCAGGACTGTGGGGAAAAACCTAGAGAGTTTTGGGTTTTTTGATAGCTAAAGAGGTTTGTGAATCTAACTGCCCTTGGTTCCTCTTACGTTTGGAGAGTCAGGATGTTGTACATTCCTTGCAAGTAAAGATGGCATCAAAGAACATACTAGATTCCATCAGTTTCTGTTTCCAGTTGGAACATCCCGAAACCCCAAATATGGACTGCCGTTCAGGTCAAAAGGGAGCAACAATAAAATAAACCTTTTTACTTTATTATTTATTTTAATTCTGTTTGTGGGGAAAGTAAGGTTTTAGCGCTAAGCAAACTAATTCTAAATGTCAAACAGGATTCAGGCTTGAAATACTGATAAACATTAATAAACTTGCACAAATTGACACCTCTATGATTATTTATCGTGCTGTATGTATTTTTGTATATATTTTCAGAAATAAGTCCAGAGATGCACAAGGTAAGTCCTTTTTATATATTATATCTCAGTAGATTCCAATAGCACCTGAGGTTTTTTGAATCCAGAATATTCAAAAATTATAAAAGTTTCAGAATATATTGTATTTTATTGATTTTTAAAAAGGATACAAAACAATACATTTCAGAGAAACTCCAATAACATTATAAAGAAGTATAAATTTTATTTCAGGAATACCTAATAAATAGAACTTGATACATGTCTGGATGAGTAGATTTTATGATACAATACAATACAGGCAGTCCCCGGGTTACGTACAAGATAGGGACTGTAGGTTTGTTCTTAAGTTGAATCTGTATGTAAGTCGGAACTGGCGTCAGCCGCTGCTGAAACTGATCAGTTTCAACAGCAAAATAAGATTTATTGATGTGGTCTCTCTCAATGTGTTACTGAAACAAACTACTAAGATGAGAATTTTCATCAGATTTGAGCCTCCAGGCAGATGGCCCCAAATAGCATCCGAGCTGTGACCCAAAACTCAGCTTTAAATAAAAATACAACAGAAGTTCAAATTGCTATTATGTCAATATAAACAAATAATCCCCTTAGATTCAGAATTGTTAGAAACACTATGCTTTTCCCCTCCACAAACATTGGGAATTCTTCGCTCAGATAGCAGTAAATCATGATAGTAAAAACAATGTTCCAGAAGTTAATAACTTAATAGATTGTTTGACATTGAGATATATGATAAATACAGTATGTTTCCCCATCACTTTTATATCAGTTTCACTTGTGGGAGAACCACACATGTGAACAATTCCAATTGCTGTAGAGGAATCTGAGGCCCTTATGAGGAAAGATTAGAAAAAGATGTACATATGGTACAGCTTGGCTAACTAACAACTCGTGTGTGGCAAGGGAGAGGACAAGTTAACAATACACCGATATCTGAAGTATACAAAGGAATTATGGTACAAGAAGGTATAAATTAGAAGCTATGGTAGGAAATTAAAAATTTCTCACCCCGGAGGACAGGGGCGGTGGACCGCGGCGCATCTGGGCGTCCCGCTGCTCCCGTCCTCCCGGGCGAGAAAAGCCCCCTTCGTAACTGCGGATCCGACATAAGTCGGATCCGCGTAACTCGGGGACTGCCTGTACATCTATAATAAAAAAAATACTTTAAAATGCAGTTAGGATAACGAAAGTGATATGCAAAGATGGCATGTTTAACAGTTCTGTTACTTATAACATTTGACTCAAAATGCACCTATTTCTGGCAAAAATAGGCTTGTAGTACACATTATTCTGTTATCCATGCAGAGTCAATATGGAGAAGTATGCTTGACAAGCCAGAGTATCCATTTGCAAAAAGAATTGTTCATTGCCTTCCAGATGAAGCAGGAAAAAACACTCACCTTAAGTTTCAGAATTTAAGGGGATTTAGCAGGGCTAGCACTTAGAGGATTTTTTTTTACATGCAAATGGAGTACATTTTATCTGGCATCACAGCATGCGTCACTGACATAGTAACATCAAGTCCCATTATGCCATTTTTCCACAGCTGTTCTATAGAGTATGTCATATGATCCCTGTGCAAAGTGTAGTGATCCAGTTTTTATTTGTCACTTAAGTTTTCACCGCATTGATCTGTATCTATGTTGTATTTTGTTGATCATGGCATGTTAAAATATACAGCATAAAGGGGCTACATGAATTAGTTTTACTGTTTTTTTTGTTTTTTAAGCGGAGCAGTATTGAAGGAGCCCTACTATCTCAAGCTGCCAAATTGGGATCAAATGAATCCCTGCTCGGTTGTAGGAAAAAAGGTTCATTGACTCTCAGTGGGCTTGTGAATGAATTTCAAGGATCCATAGAACCAGCCTACAGCAGTGATCAAGATGAAAATCTCCACCCATGTGCTACAGAGCAGACAGATGCTGATGATGAGGATGAGTGTGAACAGGTAATCTCTTTGCTCTGTGTGTGTGGGAGGGGGCTTAATTTATTCACAAACTATTATGTCAGTGTAGGGATCCCACAGGTGGGGGGCCGCTTGGATGGGGCTGAAGCACTCTTTGGGTGTGGCGTGGGGGGCTTGGCTAGGCTGGAGCAGCCAGTTAACCAGTTAGTGGTAAGCATCACCTAGTTACCCATTAACATCCCTATGGCAGAGTGAATGTTTTACCAATACATATTTCAAGTAGATGTATTGCTTACAACTGCTGCTGCTTCCAAGTATTTTTGCTTAAGCCACGGGATATATCCTAAATACTCATTGAGCTTTGTTGGTGGAGTTTTAGGCATTCAGTTGTGGAACACTGTAACCATAATAACAGTCACATCCAAAAGAACCATTTTCATTTAGACGTCATAAATCCTTTGTTGCAATCCAAGAAAGGAAGGAACTGAATTCTTTCTGTACTAGATTCTGGGGATTAAATTCACCCCTCTGTACGGGGACCAGGGCACTCAAGCCCATCTCCACTGAAAGAGCTTGTTTTTATTTGGTCCTACTGCAGACTGCCTTCCACTATTTTTACTCATTATATATAAGGACTAATTTCTCATTGCTCTGGTACTTATCACTTTTATGATCTTAAGGAAGGTGATTAGATGCCATTGTACGAGTGGTACCCTTTCCACTCTATAGGATATCTTTGTGCACATGCAGCTGTTTTAAAGACTCTAGGGCCGCTTTTTAAATGTGGACATATTAATTAGGTGTCCAAATCCCACACTTGATTGCTTTACTCTATACAAGGGAACATCCAACATTCCTAAATGCCAGTTTGAGTGGCCAGATATGTGACTTTCACATATGTGTAAGGCGCTCACAGATTTAAATTGAGCTACTCGTCACTGTATAAAGGAGTTATGATAGGGCACACAAGCCTCCATGCATGCATGGAAGGAAAGAAGGGCTGCTGAAGGTCAAGTTAGCCCAAACTAAGACACCTGATGCAGGAGGCAGATTTCCAAGGACAGGGTTGGAAGAAGCAGGTGGAGAGAGAGAGAGCACTCAGACATGGCTCTCACATTGAGAAAGAACAACCCAGAAAGGTGTTAGGGGCTGGATGGAACTGAAGAAGAGCAGCTGGGAAACTAAGGCTAAGTGGGTGTTGCACTGCAGAATGCTGGAAGGGGAGCTTTGGTAAGGACATGCTGTAACAGAGTCCACTCAGAAAACTTTTGCCCAAGTCTGCTGTCTGCCATGCCATGCCATGTTAAGTTGCATTACTCTGATAATTGTATTATGAATACTAGAGGAAAGTAGCATTCTACAATGAATGCTGTCTCTGACATCTAGCATTGCAAAAGGGATAGCACAAGAAAATGTCTCTTCTGCAGCAAATTCTTATTTAGTTGGTTCACGTTGAACTCTGGCATTTCCCAGATTTGGCTGTGACTAAATACACTGCTGTTTAAAGAACTGTAGATCATAATATACCCATTTTTTTTTTTTAAACACAGAGTGCACAACAAAAACCAAAAGGAGCTAGGAAAAGACTTAATAGCCAAGCTACTGAAAATGTTGAAAAACGAAGAAGTGTTAATCTCAACAAATGTTCAGTGCAGGTATTTAAAACTAAATGTATGAAGACTGATCATGTTTCTTATTTGTAATATCCTATATATCGGAGCTACACCATAGGCCTCTATATGTGTCTTTCTAGATGGACAGATGTAGATAAAAAATTGCCATATCTAAGTAATGACTTATGCTCAAAAATGTTTCTCTAAAGCTTAAAAGAATAAGCCAAATCTCTATAAAAATAATGAATCAAATAAATTGCAATTAGGTACCCAGCTGTTTCTACAGGTATTTCACAATATGTGCTCTTCAGCATTTATTTAGATTAAAACTTATCACCCCAAAGTAATTTGCTACTTAGTTGCTATTTTGTATATATTACAGTTTTAATTTATTGAAATCTTAATCATACAGTCTGAAATTAAAAACTGAACTTTTTAGTGTAAAATCTGTTGGGTAATGAGAAATACTAGATATGCCCATTAATCCGATGCTATTACAAAATAGCTTGATGTAATATTGGGAGGCTGAAAACAGGCATACAATACTATACTTTTTTTTTTTTTAAAGACTCAATCGTACAAGATAATGAGCATCAAATTCCCATGAAAGGCCAGAGTCAGCAAAGCATTAAAGTACATTGTTAACTTTGCAAGCATAAAGTCAGTGGGAGGTTAGGATGTGCAGCATCTTTCAGGGTATTAAGTAACATGTAGGATCAAGCCCATGCAGATTTAGCACATCCTTGGGACGCTTTGAAAAGTTTTGGCAACCACTTAAAAGTGAAGTAATTGATATTTTAGAATCTAGTGAAGTGTCATAAAATGATGCAAGTGTTCAAGGAAAAAAGTTTGCCTTCTGGAGTGAACTTTGGTTAACATATATGATATTAATTCAAGACCATGCCCTGTGATGTGGACGTAAGAGACCCCAATACATATTATTTAGGGGAAAAGATGACTAAGGGGATCAGTCTTACCTGCTTCATTGCCACCCCCATTGTACTCCACCTATATTTAATTGCTAGATAGAGGACAGGCCTGAGGATGGCCACTAAAGTTTTACACCTCCATCTCCGTTTGCAAAGGCTGATAAGTGGTCTGGAACAATGGAGCCAGATCTCCTACATTCCTCTGCCAAGCTCCACACTGCACAATGTTAGGGTCAAGGTTTTATAAACCTCAGTAGCAAGGAAATTCTTGCATCACTGCAGAGAGACTTAACAAAACTGTATATTTCAAATCTCCACAGAGCTCCAAAGATCCTTCAGATGAAGAATCTACCCAGCTGAATACAGACCTTTCCTTTTCCTGTTCTGCTAGACAATCATCTAGACAGTTTAGCACACCGCAGAACAACTCAATAATCATGGATATGCTGGGGGGAACTCCCACGGTGAGAAATATCTGGACTGACCATCAAATCAGACAAGCCTTGTTTCCCAGTAGACGGCCATCTCAGGAGAATGACGATGATGACGATGATTATCAGATGTTTGTACCAACAGTATCTACATCCAATTCAAGCTCAACTGTGTGTGAAGAGAGGGGTGCCTCCGGTCGTCCGTGTAGCTGGCATGTGGGATTAGATAATCAAAATGAGATCTCCAGCTCTAGTCATCACAGAATTGTTAGACGGGCCAGTAGTGCTGGTGAAAATAACTCTTGCCTATATAATGCAAGACATAGAGCCAATGATATTATCCAGCATGGTTCCCGGAGGGAAGTGAAAAGTAGTTCTAGAACTGATGTGGGCAATATGAATACTTATCCAGAATCTTCAGAAGAGCTGACCATTGATGATATAGAACATGTCTATGATAATATAAGTTATGAAGATTTAAAACTGATGGGGCTGACTAGAAGGGAAGAGCCTGATCATGGCCCCCAAAGATCTTCTAAAGACTCTCTCTACAAAAGTCAAAGCAAAAAGACCTTGGAGGAAGCAGCCTCTGAAAAAAAGCAAGCAAATCAAAATAGGACCTCTCTTCCCGCTAGCAAAGATGAAATCCTGTTCAATAGAGAGGCACCAACTTTAAGTTCACACGAGCTTAGGATTGTTGAGGAGAACATCTATGACACTATAGGGCTTCCAGAACCACCACTATTGAATTTCAAATGTAATCGCATTAAATGCACTAAAAGGAGAAGTTTTTTGGGCCTGGAAACAGACTTCGCATGTTGTGACAATCTAAGGCAGTTTGTTTCTGAAGAGAGTCTCCAATTGAGTGAAGATGAAAGTCCATACCATCATGTTCCTTTAGATAATGACTATTTGAGCTTAATAGATAGTTCCTCCAACTCTGATTCACTCTCCCACAAGTCTGCAGCTGATAAACTATCAGAAGAAGTAGATGAGATCTGGAATGATCTAGAGAATTACATCAAGAAGAATGAAGAAAAGACAAGAGACCGTGTCCTGGCCGCCTTTCCTGTTTGTAAAGATGACATGCAGGAAAGACTCCATACTGGAAGTACACCTAAACTGAGTAAAGAAGTGGAGTATTCACTTTCCACACTCTCACTGCCAGAAACGCCCGTTTTCCCTAAAATTTTGAAACACAAGGTAGCTAGATTAAGTGAGGCCAGTCTCGGATTTGATGAAGCAACACCATGCAAAGATCATTCATTTCTGAGTCTTAACAGATCTTCTTTCTCCAGTGATTTGCCTTTTATAGACAGCCCTTATGAATCTGCCAATAGTATTCTATCCAATGTACATACAGAAAACACTGACAATGAAATGGATGTCGTGGATAAAACAAAAAACAGAGTCTTTATGATGGCAAGGCAATACAGTCAAAAAATTAAGAAGGCCAATCAGCTTTTGAAGGTAAAAAGTCCAGAGCAGGAACAGCCTGGCAGCCAGCAACAGAAAATGAGACACAAAGACCTTGCAGCCATTTTAGAGGAAAAGAAACAAGGTGGTCCTGCTATTGGTATGTTTAAAATATTGTCCTTTCTCATTCCTACTCCCCTAATAGATTTCTTCAATAACTTTGGTGACATTTCTGTGTTGATTTAAAATGCTATTACTCTCTTGATCCATCAGTTGCGTGATGACAACTTTAATGTGTTACCACTGAGATGAGATTGAGATCTTTATGTAGTGCAAACAGAAGTATAAATGCATATCCTATGTTAAGAGTAAAATCCTTGGATAGAAGGAAAGAGAAAAGGATGGCACAATGTCAGCCATCTTGCTTTCAGGTTGGTTCAGAGTAGGGATGCTAAATTTTGATTACTCAACTAATTGAGTAGTTGATGGAATTTCCATTGACTACTCAATTAGACAATAAGGGGGGCGCTCACTATCCCGCTGTGCCTCTCCCTTTGAAATGTACAAGAGTCACCTGCAACTCTTGTACATTTCAAAGGAAAAGACTCAGTAGAACTGCTTTCTCGCTCCTGCACCTCTCCCTTTGAACTGTACAAGAGCTGCAGCTGACTCTTATACATTTCAAAGAGAGAGGTGCAGTGCAGCAGTAGGGATGCTTCTGCCTCCCCTACCCCAGAGACAGTGCTGGGGGGAACCAGCTTTTAAGCCGGCTCCCGCTCCCCCATTGCTGCCTCTCTCTGATAGGGGCAGCAAGGTGGGGGGAAGCAACAAGTTGAGTCACTACTTGACTACTCTAATAAGATAGTCAACTAGTTGCTCACATCCCTAGGTCAAGGTAGCCTGGGAATAAAAGTGTGATCCTGGGCATTCTTTAGCCTTTTGCATAAAAGCAGTTATTTCTTGCCTAGTGAAGTCTTCAGATTTCAGCTGAGGTGCGCCTAGTCACTCTTTTGTGCTCCTTTGAGACATAGGACATCATAGAAGCCAAGTCCAGCTTTTTATAGAAACTTCCTGTTTGTCGCTTCCAGCATCGGGATGCGGTCTTTGCTTTCTAGAGCACCTGCACTGCACAGAGCAGGATGGAACAACAAATATTTGCTGAGAGAATTTTCTATGAACTATTTCAAAGTAAGATGTATTTTAAAGTGGATAGAACTGGATTCAGTGAACTTCCAGTCACTAGAATCATAGAATACTAGGACTGTAAGGGACCTTGAGAGGTCATCGAGTCCAGTCCCCTGCCCTCATGGCAGGACCAAATACTGTCTAGACCATCCCTGATAGACATTTATCTAACCTACTCTTAAATATCTCTAGAGATGGAGATTCCACAACCTCCCTGGGCAATTTATTCCAGTGTTTGACTACCCTGACAGTTAGGAACTTTTTCCCAATGTCCAACCTAAAACTCCCTTGCTGCAGTTTAAGTCCATTGCTTCTCGTTCTATCTTCAGAGGCCAAGATGAACAAGTTTTCTCCCTCCTCCTTATGACACCCTTTTAGATACCTGAAAACGGCTATCATGTCCCCCCTTGGTCTTCTCTTTTCTAAGCTAAACAAACCCAATTCTTTCAGCCATCCCTCATAGGTCATGTTCTGTAGACCTTTAATCATTCTTGTTGCTCTTCTCTGGACCTTCTCCAATTTCTCCATATCTTTCTTGAAATGCGGTGCCCAGAACTGAACACAATACTCCAACTGAGGCCTAACCAGCGCAGAGTAGAGCGGAAGAATGACTTCTCGTGTCTTGCTCACAACACACCTGTTAATGCATCCCAGAATCATGTTTGCTTTTTTTACAACAGCCTCACCACAATGCTGACTCTTATTCAGCTTGTGGTCCACTATAACCCCTAGATCCCTTTCTGCCGTACTCCTTCCCAGACCGTCGCTTCCCATTCTGTATGTGTGAAACTGATTGTTCCTTCCTAAGTGGAGAACTTGGCATTTGTCTTAAACTTCATCGTATTTACCTCAGACCATTTCTCCAAGTCATTTTGAATTATGACCCTATCCTGCAGATTAGTCGCAACCCCTCCCAGCTTGGTATCATCTGCAAACTTAATAAGCATACTTTCTATGCCAATATCTAAATCGTTGATGATGATATTGAACAGAGCCAGTCCCAAAACAGACCTCTGTGGAACACCACTTATTATACCTTTCCAGCAGGATTGAGAACCATTAACTACTACTCTCTGAGTACGGTTATCCAGCCAGTTATGCACCCACCTTATAGTAGCCCCATCTAAGTTGTATTTACCTAGTTTATTGATAAGAATATCATG